GTTTAAAATGCGTGGTATTGCCTGCTTTTGTCGCTACCTTTTTTAAACCAATGCGACACACCGCCCGGCTCATTCAAGTCCGTAGGTTCGCCTCGTTGATTTGGTTTGAATCCAAAATACTGCCACACCGGAGAATCGAGATGTGTAGTTAGGTTTTGTAACCAATTCCATTTCACTTTAAATTCCCCGTGAGTAAGTCACACGTTGTCTCCCGCTTGTCGCTATATTATTAATTTGGCTGCTGCACGTGCACGCGGAGTGTCCTGACCTGGCGGAGTGTCCTGACCTGGCTGTGTGTCAGCCCCGCCCCTCACAGCGCGCCTGGCAGCCACAGCGCTCCAGGCTAAAATGCTGGTCACATCTTTATGTAAACGGCAATTTATCGAGCTCAGAAAAGTTATCGAGTCCATTTTTATTTATCGTACGATAAGTCAATTTATCGATTATCGCGACAGGCCTAATTACAACCCAACGACACGTAAGAAAACAGTCCTTTCCCCTTCAGATACCCGGTTCTTTACAAGTAGACAGACAAATAACAGTGCACTTCCCACCATGGTACGAGAATGGAACATTTCAGCTCCTTGCATTGTTGTTCTGTGGCCATTGATCCTTCCCTCGTGTAAGTGCCATGAAATGGAGCCAAGTTACCAGGAGTCCCACAGAGCAAAAGTCCTATGATCCTGGAAAACTTTAATAGGCTTGTGTTGTGTATATGTGTGTGTGTGTTGGTGTTTTCTTGTGTTTATTCTCCTGGCTCCTGCTGATCTCCTGACCCCAGATGGAGAGCAGTGGGTGAGCAGATTGTATTTCCTGCTTGATTAAATATGAATAGATTGGTGTGCTTCTCTGCCACACTCTTTGCAGGGCAAAAATGAAAGACGGTACACCCCTCACCCCCTCCCATTTTACCTTGGCTCTCTGCCCAACAACTGCTAATGTAGAATACGAGGCCTTGTGTCAGGGCACACATAAGGTGTAAGATCCGGGAGGAAAACTGAATTAGCAGAGTAACCTGAGCAGGTGGGAAGGAAAGGACTATGGATCTGCAGCCGTACAACAATCAGCCACATGATAGGTCCCCGATGGGATTGAGGATTACACACAAGGCCTGCAGGCTCCATGTTTATTAAGAGCAGAGCAGATATTATTTACATATAGTACTATTCTTAGAAGCTTAACAAACTTAGCCTCTTGTTTTCAGTGCTAACAGTTTCGAATGAAATTGACAGCTATGAGTGAGGATTGCTTTCAACTTCAGAAAAGTGGCCTGAACTTGCCTGTACATGTGACACAGGAACCTGTCCTGAACATCTGAATTCTATACTTTTGTCCCTATATAATAATATAAGTGATGGCAGAATGTGGTTTAACTTTTTCTGGCAAGACTTCTATAAAATAATAACAGAACATTTGAGGTATATTTGTATTTTATCCCAAAATAATATTGGTTAAAGATTCTCAAACTGTTTTCTCAATTGAAATAATGTTTTAAACATCTGTCATCTGGCATTTAAAGAGCTATATTTGAATAAGATAATCTTCATTAATCCCCAGAGATTCAGGTGTTTGAGCAGCACAAAGACAGAAGGCAAATATTTTGCTATAGTTAACCCTGACAGCGTTGAGTGATCCCTGTTGTTACTTGTTACCTATGAATTAAAGTGTTAATTGTTTTCTTTATGGCTGTGTGTATGTATGCAAGCATGCATAGGCGTGCTGATAAGTGTTTTATATTATGAAAGATGGGCTATCCGTGACCATGGCTGTAGGTGTGGTGCTTTTTCATCATCTTATATCAGTTTTACTTAATACCAAGCCCACTGTCAAAATATTGCCAAGGAGATTCTTTCTGACACTGCAGTCAGTGTTGTGTTGTCAGTTGTGATTCAGTTTGAACACCTGGGTTCCTCTGACTTGATGACCAAAACCATAGAAGCCCATCCTTTAATACCAGTAAAATATATCAACACGAGCCAAAATAACAGGTGATGACACAGTGCGTAAGGCTTCTGGACAGGAACACTATCATTCTGAGAGATATCCGAATGAGTCATAGATCAAAGGGGCTTCAGTAGACTTAGGTGTAAGTAATGATTGTGTGTAGTCCTCTGAGGATAATTAGAGCTTAACATGTCAGGAATCCGAACTAGTGCACAGTCACCAATGACAGTCACTGGTCGACGGTGTTTTCTATATTAAGATTGTTCGATATTGATTTACAGTATTTAACACGACAAATAACCTGTGATAGGCCTACCTCTGGATTTTTAGCAAATTCAACCATCACTGTAGGATAAATGACCCTTGTGATGTCAATAAAAAAAAAGTGCTGAAGGAGCACATCTACTTTACAGTGAGGGGCAGGCAGTTCAATCATTACATCTCTTTTATTGATCCTGAGCAGGGAATGTTACATTTGGATGGTGGGTGGGGGGCGGGTGGTTTTACTGTCTGCACAAGCGAACACCGCTACAATGCAATTTGTGACATCTGACATGCTGAGAGTGAGCACCACGTGAAGAACCAGACGAAAAGGTGCATTCATGTTCCTCTGTTAAAATCAGGAGGGGGCATAAGAATTCACAGAGAAATACCTATACCTCATGTGACTCTAACCAACTGTGTTGCTCTGGTCGATCAGTAAGCTGCTGCTCCTGCCGCTGCTGATGAATATGTTGATGGAGGGGGTTGCTTGTTCGTCTTCTTCTGCCCGTCTTGATGTGAACTAGAGCTGGTGGTGAGACAGGAGGGGAAACACGCAGTCAGAGTGGTCGTCTTGTGCTTTCAGAGCCAGGGCACTTTCACGGATTTCATCACGATGGCTTGGAGAGGAGGGAGAACACGGCCGTTTTATCGACAAATTCCTTATTTAAACTAAAGACGGGTGTTGTTTCAGACCCGAGGACTGAGAAGAAAAAGAAAAGGTAATGTCTATAATCAACTGGAAATGATCATAACATGTTGCTACGCCGTGTTTTATTCGACAATGGTGGTGGTGGTTCCTATAGGGAAACCGGTGCTTCTCCTAACCTCCGCCGGATCACCACAGCATTGTTCTCTTGTTGACTTTTCAACAGTGTTTTTGGATTTTATGGATCCTACATGTGTGCGCTGTTTCGGTGAATGATTGATTTTGATTTTTTCTAGCCACACATTTCCACATTCAAAGGTGTTGTTACGCTGCGGGCCTGCCGACTGTATGAAGGCAAATTCCCCCTCTATGCCAACGTAGCGTTGTTAGCATAGCGACAGGCTAAGCTAACCTTAGCCGCTTGATAGTCGTTGGCGGTGCTTACCTTTACTTCAGCCCTCTGTAAATAAGTGGTAACCGTTAGTCATGCTAAAAATATACCATGGAAACTCCAACGCAATCGTAGCCTTTAAACTAATATAAGGTAAATGTTTAATATTGTATCTTGAGAGACTGAGGTTAGCTTTGAGTTATGGGACATGAAAGTTCCGTTATGTTTGTCTTGCTAACTTGGCTGCTGCGTTTCTTTACCTAGCATAGTGAACTTTTTTTTCCTTCAGCTTAAGTTACACCACTAGCTTGATAACACAATTAATTAACGCCAGAGACATAACCCTCGACATGGCCTGAAATACAATGCTTTTGCAACTGCACAACAAACAAATGTGATTTAAATGGACAGCCACTGAGACCCTGACAGTGTTGCTGTGGAGGTAAAAATAAACCGTTTTGGTTTTTCTCTCCTGTTTGATATTTCCCTGTCGAAAACAGAGGTGGAAGAAGTACTTCGATTGTGTAAAAGCAGAACTACCAGAATGCAGGATTATTCAGTAACAAGTAAGAGTTCTGCATTAAAGTTTTCTTAAGTGAAAGTACAAAAAAAACTCAAATGTACAGAAAGTAAAAGTACTCATTGTGCATATTGGCACATTTAACAATGATATATATTATATGTTTTGATTATAATTATTGATGCAATAATGTGTTTATCACAGCTGCTAAAGGTGGAGCCAATTGTAATTCCTGTGTATAGTGCAAAGTAGCTTGTAGATATACTCCAAAGTCTTATTTAAGTCTTGAGTACATTTCGTATGCAAATCTGCTAAGTATCCAAAGCTCTAAAGTACAAGAACACGAGTTGCCTCTGAATTGTAGTGGGGTAGAGGTACTAAGTAGCAACAAATGTAAAGTACAGGTCTGTCAGAATTGTACTTAAGTACATTGTACAATTGAGTACATGTACTTAGCTACTCAACATCACTGGTTCGAGAATATAACCGTTTGTAAAATCCATTGAGTTGTGTAACGTTAATGTGAACATATTCTGTTGCAAGAGGTTTATCTAGAAGGGCAATATCTGTAGGCGTAAATTAAACCTGTGATTGTACTTGACTCCCTAGAGTTGCACCAGTATAAGCTGTTTGCTTGTGGGTACTTTTTTAATATGCAATAGATGCTGTCTGTCAGTTAACTCTTAACATTGTGTGTGCAGTTTAACTAGTTGACCTAGAGAATTACTGGTTGAAAAGTAGAACTTTCTGTAAGCGATAGTATGAACAGGTTGTATTTTATAAGAGTGTAGGCCGAGTATTTAACTGTTTTAAAAAAATTTTTTTTATATAAATCTTGTGACTATCGCCTCAGGTGGATTATAAACTGCCCTTTTTCAAATGGTTGTTCTTTCAGATATCACATCTGAGCTGAACTCTGGTCTGACATCCCCTGTGCTAAGCTTCATAATTCCTCATGTATACTTGCCTCCAGATGGAATTTGATATAGGGTTTATTTTAATTGTTTTAAACCTGTCACATCTGATCAGTTCTTTGCAGCATGCTGTTTCAATACTGCGGTCAAGCCAGCCGTCTTTCACTTTTGCGTGGTCAAACCAGCCGCCCCTGTATTTCGAGTGCGCGATTAGTTACAGGTTTAGGGTAATGCAATAAAACAACTCTGGGAAGCTGGATTTCAAAGTAAAGGATGGCATGTGGTTCATTTCTATTATTTGCGATTGAGGAACAGGGTAATTTATGAGAATAATTGTAGGACTTATTGCTTCATAAACTTGTTGCACAAATACTATGAACTACTTTTACTGTGTACTTTTTCAGAATGGCAAAATTCCCTCCAGAGAACAAGAAGGAGCATTTTTGTCTAACTTTGACGTGGGATAAAAAACATTTCTTCCATAAGTAGTTTCTGAAACTGCCATGTTTGTACTTAATACTTCTAAGACTGCCAAGGCACAC